CCCCGGCCCGGCCGGGGGCCCGGCACCGGGATTGCAACCCTCGGTGTTGCTCCCGCGCCTCGCTCAGCCAGTGAGCGGGAACCGGTCCGTATGTGGGATCCGAATCCTCGGGCGGGAGCGCCGCCACGCTTTCCAAGCGGCGCACTTATCCAGTGCGCCACCGGGCCGGCCCACCTTTTACCCACTTTTTATAATGGATTGTGAAGTCTGATTTCATCTGCCTACCAGAGTATTTGCTAATTCTGTAACTGGTAAAGTCTGAAATACATGTGGAGAATAGTGTTAACAGCTATGGGATGAAGCATACAGGCTTACTTTATGTTATAAAAGGGTATACAGTATTAATTTAAGTCTTAATCTACCTTTAGGTTTTTGGTTTTTTTTCTCTGGCATTATCTTTCAGAGTTGATTTCTAGGAAATCAACTGTATTTGTGATGTTATGCAATAAGATTTCTCAGAAATGCTCAAGGAGGCAGTTGTCAGCCCTCGAGAGTTAATTCTTGGCTGCAGGAACAGAGACTTTACTGATTTTAAAGGTGAATAAGTATGTCTTGTCCTGCCAAGCATTTTGAAGAATCTGTCCAAATGGAGGTATCTTAATAATTAAGCAAAATTAGTACTGAAGCTTGTGTTTGGGATTGTCTGTTCATTCAAAATCAGAGTCCTTTAGTTATCCTTTGGAATTAGAAAAAAAAATCCTTTTGAAATCTGGAGGCTATAATTTTGATAGTTAATCATTGGTTTTTAGCATTGGTTATACATACTAGCTTTAAGCCAGCATTGAAGCAGTATAGACACTTGTCTGTATTGGGTAAACTGAACAAATAATTGCAGTCAAAATGAATGCCCAGTTGTGAGGAGGATACTTAACTTTTAAATGGCCAGAAGAAATAAGGTTAAGAAAAAACAGTAGTTGACTTGTGGACATCCCCACTGGGGTGGCCATCTCTTGTGCACCAGCAAAGAGTTGAATGAGGAAGAGCCTCATGAGTTACCTGCCTCTGCTGCAGATTCCACCCGCGCCTACAAAGCCCGACTTTGATGGCCCTCGAGAGAAGATGCAGAAGCTGGGAGAAGGTGAAGGGTCCATGACGAAAGAAGAATTTGCCAAGATGAAGCAAGAACTGGAAGCGTAAGCATTTTCTTGATGGGCTCTATATTTTGAGAAGTAGAAAAATTGTGGTGCTGCATACAGAAATAAGTAGAAGAACCTGAAAACTAATTTTTTTATAGGTATAGCTGTTAATTCGTTGTTAATGCTGTTTTCTAAAGTTACTTTTTTTGGAGGGGTGGTAGCTGGCCAGTACAGGGTTCTGAACTCTTGACCTTGGTGTTGTAACATTACGCTCTAACCAGCTGAGCTAATCAGCCAGCCCTAGTACTACATTTTGCAGAGCATGGGACGTAGTCTTTGTGCTTTAGACATTAATTCCTTGTAGGCTATTGACATTAGATAGACTAGTTTTAAGACTGTACTTAACTAAGGGAATACTGGTCTGGCATAATGAGGAAATAAACCTTTTTGTCTTTATTAGCAGCTTGAAAAATTATAATGTACAAAGCTTTCTTTGAAGTTAGGTTACTAGAAGTTTAGGAGAAATGAGATTGTAAGTGAGTGCTGTTACGGAGAAGCATTCTGAATAACCACATTAATGGTTTGAAAGTCCAGGTTCACAGGCAGTGTATTTCAATCTTGTCATAATTTAATTATTTCAAACAAAAATGGGTTCTTTATTCTGTGTCTTAGTTATAGGTTTGTATTATAGAGAACTGAAAAACTTGTACCAGATATTCTTCAACTAATATGGTTGTCCTTTGGTACCTGCAGGGGATTGATTCTAGGACCCACCTTGTATATCAAAATCCAAGGATACTTTAGTCTGTGGAACCCTTATACCCTGTGGAACCCTGGGTATATGAAAAGTTGGCTCTCCTAATATAGTCAGTGTGCAGGTTCTGCATCCCACAGATACTCTATTTTTGATCCACGTTGGTTGGAAAAAAATCTGTGTGTAAATGATCAAATCCAATTATAGCATCACTTTCCTTCTTCATTGATGTGGATTCCAAAACTGCAATGCCGTTATTACCTAACTAGATACCAAACTATACCAAAATGTTGTTTTGGTCCAGTTGCAGTATTTTATGTAGTGGCATGAGCAGAAAAGTAGAGTTAAAAAAAAAAAAGTTAAAAGTAGAGCTGTGTTGGGCCGGCCCGGTGGCGCACTGCTACAGTGCGCCGCTTGGGAGCGCGGCGTGGCTTGGGAGCGCGGCGGTGCTCCCGCCGAGGGTTCGGATCCCACATACAGACCGGCTGCTCACTGGCTGAGCAAGGGGCTGGCGCAACACCGAGGGTTGCGATCCCGTTGCCGGTCCCGGTCCAGTACGGGCGCGACACTGAGGGTTGTGATCCGTTGCCGGTCACGAAAAAAGACAAAAAGGAAAAAAAAAAAGTAGAGCTGTGTTGGTTAGGTAGTTGAGTGATGCTAACTGAGTACCGTGTGCCCATCTCTTTTTAGTGAGTATCTGGCTGTCTTTAAGAAGACTGTGTCCTCCCATGAAGTCTTTCTTCAGCGACTTTCTTCTCACCCTGTTCTCAGTAAAGATCGCAACTTTCATGTTTTCCTGGAATATCATCAGGATGTAAGGCATTTTTTTTTTCATTTCCATGACCAAGTTATAAATGTATATATTTTTATATAAAAACTATACTGTAAAAATGTATTTTCTATTTTCTGAAAAATTGACTTAATTTATAAAAGTTCTGAATTTCTTACCAACACAGTGGAAGCTTTTTTTAAAAAAATTGAATTATTTCTTTGGTGGCTGGCTGATACAGGGGTTGAACCCTGGACCTGATGTTATCAGCACCATACTCTAATGAACTGAGCAACCAGCCAGCCTTTTTGGAAGCCTTTTTCAATGACATCTTACTCATAGACACCCCTCTTACTCATAGATCCAGTCTGTAAGTCTTTTTTGTGAAACTGCTTTAAAAATTTGGCCTTTTCCCTCTTCCAAAGACTAGCTCCCTCAGTTAAGTTAGGGATTATAGGTAGAACTTAAATTGATCTACATTTATTTCCTTCTCAGCTACCCATTTTGTTGAAAGGAGAGGAGACCTGGATGCGCTTTTTTTTTAAATCAGTATATTTCTTGCTATTTAGTATGTGTGAGGTAAGCCCCGATTTAGACATTTCTTCAGTGTCTTTTTTTTTTTTTTTTTTTTTGTCTTTTTCCGTGTCCGGCAACGGATCGCAACCCTCAGTGTCGCCCCCGTACCGGAACCGGCAACGGGATCGCAACCCTCGGCGTTGCTCCTGCGCCTCGCTCAGCCAGCGAGCGGGAACCGGTCTGTATGTGGGATCCGAACCCTCGGCGGGAGCGCCGCCGCGCTTCCCAAGCGGCGCACTATCGCAGTGCGCCACCGGGCCGGCCCTTTTTTTTTTTTTTTTAAAAAAAGATGACCGATAAGGGGATCTTAACCCTTGACTTGGTGTTGTCAGCACCATGCTCACCCAGTGAGCTAACCGGCCATCCCTATAGGGGATCCGAGCCCGTGGTCTTGGTGTTATCAGCACCGTGTTCTCCCAAGTGAGCCATGGGCCGGCCCCTTCAGTGTCTTTGAATCTGTAGATCAGAACAGTAAGTCTACCAAGGATTTAAAACCCCCTAAGACTTAGCGCTTGGATTGTTTTCACATATCTCCAACCTTTTAGAATGAGATGACCTGTGTTTAGGTTTAGCCATTTATTAGATATCTTATCAGCACCGTGCTCTAACCAACTGAGCTAACCGACCTATCATCCTATCAAATATTTTAGACTTGGTGGTTAAGACGGAATTAAAGATTACCTTATGTATGTGCCTGTACTTGTAAAAAGTATTACTTGGAATGTAATTCAATACTTCTTTAGGAGAACCTAAAAGATATATATCATAAACTGTTCTTTTGGAATTTTCTTCCTTTAGCTAAGTGTCAGGCGGAAAAATACCAAAGAGATGTTTGGTGGATTTTTCAAAAGTGTGGTGAAAAGTGCTGATGAAGTCCTTTTTTCTGGAGTTAAGGTAAGTGGGAATAGGTGACCTTTTGCACATTCTTTGGAAGAGGTATTTGTGAAACATGGTATAAACTTTTAAGAAATGTAAATTTTCTTCAGTTTTGGTTATTTTCTCTTCTCATTCAGTTTTCACTTAATTTTCCAAAACAAATTGCTCTCTCCCAGGAGAGCTGACATGAACCTTTCCACATTCAAGTCTTCATTTACTCCTTTTCTGTAAGGAGCTTACTCAAATAATTTTAAAGAGAGTAAGCTACCAGGTTAGTATTTCATGCCGTTCCCAGAAGTACACTGTCAGTATGGTGGCCACAAATGGCAGGTGAGCATTTGACCTGTAGCTTATCTGGCACAATTTAAGGAATCAAATTTTAAACTTATTTACATACTGGATTTCAAGGACTTAGTTCAAAGAAAAGAATAGTAAATGTCTCAGTAACATTTTTGTGTGTTGAAATGATTTTGGATGTACTGTATTAAGTATAATACTAAAATTATTTTCCTGTGTCTTTTTATTGAGGCTACTAGAAAATTTTTAAATGGCGTGTATGGCTCATGTTTTATTTCTATTGGATAGTGCTGTTCCAGAAAGTAAAAATTAATATACAAGTCTCTCATTACCCTCATACGTGGGATTTATTTCTTCACTCCCCAGGCCTTCCCCCTCTTTTTAAACTGAGTTACCTTTGCAGTACTATCTGTGGTGTCTGGCTTTGTCACCCCAGGGCTTGGGTAGGGAGCCCCGAATACAGACAATGCTTAGTAGAGGGAGCATTGTCGGAATTTTGGAACTCTCTTTCCCTTGGTGCAGTTTATAAGGTGTGTGGAACTATCCTCTATTCAGGCATTGTGGGATGTTTGGCATCCCTGGCCAGTGCCCGCCAGATGTCAGTATTGCCTCCCAGCCTGAAACCAACCAAATTTGAAAGAATCCCCCACCCATATTACAAATGCAGATATCCAAGGCTGGTGGCAATGTCCTACATGGTAGAACCACTGCAGTAGCAATAGAATTGATGGGTCTTAGAGAGGATACCAGAGTTTTACTGGTCATTGCCAAATCGCTCTTCGAAATGGTTCTCTCTATTGACATTTCCTGTTAGCCTTTGATTTTTGCCAGTCATGGGTGTGAAATAATATCTTATGAATTTCTAATTCCCTGATCTATAAAAGTTTTAAGTTCTTATTCATGAGGTTATTTGCCATAATGTTTCTTCTAATACAGAATATTCACACTCTTGGAATTTCTGCTTCTTAACTTTAATTTTTCCTCCTTTTTAGGAGGTAGATGACTTCTTTGAGCAAGAGAAGAACTTCCTTATTAATTATTACAATAGGATCAAGGATTCCTGTGCAAAAGCTGACAAGATGACCAGATCTCATAAAAGTAAATACCGTTCACTCTCTAGCCACTTAAAACTTTGCTAATGTGCCTGGCTCTGTTCATGTAAAAAGGACTGTCCTTGTTTCTACAGATGTTGCTGATGACTATATCCACACTGCAGCCTGCTTGCACAGCCTGGCTTTACAAGAGCCCACAGTCATCAAAAAGTAAGTTTTTGTTGGAAAGCATAATGAGTAATGACTCATTGTTTCAGTTCTGTTGTGAAGTATAAGCTCATCAAAGATAGTTTCCAACACTCAAATAAAACACTTATAAGACAGTCGTAGGGGACTTAGATGGCTCTTCTATAGATGAACAAATGTGGTAGGTGTTGAAGTGCCATAACATGTTGGAATTAATACCTTTATTCTGTCAAATTTAAATGTTTCAGTTTTCTTGTTGATTTAGTTTTGGAGTGGTTTTTGAGAGAAGTTTGCCTTATGTCTTCTGGCAATTGGTGCTTGCCATTTTGCCTAGTGATGCCCTGGACTTTTTGAAGAGATGTGGTTATGGTGGTCATGAGAATAACATAACCGCCATCTGATCCTGCACTTAACTTTTATATATGTTTTTACAGTTTCTTCATTCTGGGCATTTCTGGTATGAGGCAATATTCTACTTAACACCTATACTTGGTATAATAAGTCGTTTTATTTCTGACTTGAAATTGAAAGTCAGGCTAATGGCAGAATCAAGGTGAGGTAGTAACATATTAATTGCTTTGTGACAACCATGGTCCTTGGTTAGCAAAGGATTGGCATTTGGTAGGAATTATCCTGGACATGTGGCAGGATAGCTGAAGGGGCAACCAAGAACATGATGCTGATGAGTGGGGCACTGTAAATGTGCTCAGTTTTATAACCATTTTCTCTGTTGTTTTGGATTAGTTGAAATGAAAGCACTATTGGTAATTCTGAAGTACCAAAGGCTAGTTTACTCATCCATGTCTTATCATAAATGAGTTAAGTAAGACCTGAAACCAAAATCATATGTATATTTTCAGGTACCTATTGAAGGTTGCTGAGCTATTTGAAAAACTTAGGGTAAGGATTTTTGTGTTAGTCTTCATATGTTTTATAATCTGTAGATTTCTGCCTTGATGGTGACCTTTACTTTTTTAAATAGAAAGTGGAGGGTCGAGTCTCTTCAGATGAAGATTTAAAGCTGACAGAGCTTCTCCGATACTACATGCTCAACATAGAGGCCGCTAAGGTAAGACAAGAAATTGTTGAACTCACCAGAGCAGTGCAAGACCACTTTGCCATTATCAGAAGTGTAACATTAGAGATACATTCTTTTTGTTAAGAAGGAAAGTTGGGCCAGCCAGTTAATTCAGTTGGTTAGAGCATGTTGTTAACACCAAGGTCCAGGGTTTGGATCCGCATACTGGCCAGATGTCCCCCTGCCCCCAACACACACACACCCCCGCCAAAAAGCGGGGGAAGTTATTCTCAGGAGGGAGAGAGGAATTTATCAGTCTTTCATGACGTTGTATCCTTAAAGTTTGGTGTAGAATAGATAGGTGATAGTTTTGAGTATTGTAGGTTATTGGATGTGGGGCATAACATACCAAAAGGGCTATTTCTGAGTCAGAAAAGGTTTTGGGATTTGTGGGTTTTATTGAATTACAGCTACCCCTGCAACCGCTGTGAAGCATTACTTATGAAAGGTAAGACAAGTGATAAGCAGAATAACCTTTGAGAATGAAACATGCATTCTTCACTGTCTACACTGTCCCAAACATGTTTAAATTAGTTTTACATGAAACGTATTAAATCAGGCAACATATAATGATGTACAGACTAAGGTATATATAACAAAGGGAAATGTCATCAGGAAGTGAAAATTTATTTTTTTCCCCATAGTATAATTTTTAGTTAATGTGCCTTTTGACATGTTTTCTTAGACTTATTTTTGGATACTTTTTATACACTTTAGACTGTTATAGTTTTAAGTTTTTCGTGTGTACGCAAAAGAAGATATAATAGTTTTCAACCAGCTTCAACAATTATTTTGCCAGTTGTCATAGTCTATTTTCTGTTCCTATAACAATACCACAGACTGGGTAATTTATCAAGGAAAGCTTATTTAGCTCATGGTTCTGAGGCTGGGAAGTCCGGGAGCATGGCATTGGCATCCGGTGAGGGCCTTCTTGCTGCATCATAACATGGTGGCGGGCAAGCACAAGAGAGCTTGCTCTTATGGAAAATCCACTCCCGTGGAAACAAACCCATTCCTATGAGAGTAATCCTTTCTTGTGGGCAGAACTCTTGTTCATCCAATCATGAGGACAGAAGGATTATGAATTTTGGGGGGACACATTTAAGCCATGGTAGCAGTCTTCAACAGTTTTTAAAAACTGCATAGTCCATTGTATACATGTATCATCATTGCCAATTTTATATAATTACTTGGCTGTAAGATTGCAAAGAATCTTTAAGATTAGCTGCTTCCCCAGGGTAGATTACCAGATGTAGGATTTTTGCAGGGTAGTGTTATATGTTTCTTACTACTTTACTCTGCCCAGTTGCAGTCTGGCAGTATTCCATTTGACTCACACAGCTATAATTTGTACATGTGTTTTCATACTCAATGTTAACATTTCTGAATTTACCTTCAATTATTGAACAACCAGAAAAAATCCTTCATTTTTCACTCTGGATTTTTTCACCTGATGCCTATAAATAATTCTGAAAAAAACTTTTTAACAGAGCTATAAGAGTTGTTGCTATGATTTGAATATCCTCTCCAAAAACTCATGCTGAAGTTTAATCCCTGTTGTGGCAATGTTGAGAGGTAGAAGAGGAAGGACGAACTGAGTTAGCACATGAACACACTCTTACTCTCTTGCCATGTGATACACTGTGCCACCTAGGGACTCTTGCAGAGAGTCTCCTCCCAGAAGAGAGCCCTCAACTGATGTGTGCTTATCAACTTCGGGCTTCAAGCCTCCAGAACTGTAAGAAACAAATTGTTTCTTTATGGAGTACCCAGTTTCAGGTATTGTGTTATTAGCAACAGAAAATGGACTAAGACAGTTGTTCATCCTTGCTAAATCTGGAGATAAAAAAATAATAATGGGGAGGGGAAATGTAGAGGTAGATTCTTGCCATTTAATGTTTCAGACAGTGCGTTGATTGGTACTGTGAATACTTCGGTTATTTTTTGGACTGGTTAAGTTTTTGAGTTTTTTTTTGTTTCTTTTTGGTGGCTGGCTGGTACAGGGATCTGAATCCTTGACCTTGGTGTTGTAACACTGTACTCTACGCAGCTGAGCTAACCAGACAGCCCTAGACTGGTTTAGATATTTAGTGCTCCTATTCCGTTTTCTGGTGGCTTTTTATATTGTACCTGTACATTCTCTTCTCAGGATCTCTTGTACAGACGCACCAAGGCCCTGATTGACTATGAGAACTCAAACAAAGCTCTGGATAAGGCCCGGTTAAAAAGCAAAGATGTCAAGTTGGCTGAGGCACACCAGCAGGAATGCTGCCAGAAATTTGAACAGCTTTCTGAGTCTGCAATAGAAGAACTGATCAATTTTAAACGGAAGAGGGTGGCTGCATTTAGAAAGAACCTAATTGAAATGTCTGAACTGGAAATAAAGCATGCCAGTGAGGCACACCAGCAGGAATGCTGCCAGAAATTTGAACAGCTTTCTGAGTCTGCAATAGAAGGTCGAGCCAGGGGCATTCTTTTGTACTTTTTACATTTTATTTGGAAATGATTTCAAGCTTAGAGGAAAAGTTGCACAAAAAGTACAAAAACACCCAAGTCTCCTTCACCTAGAGTCAGCATGTGGCCCCTCTGGTTTATCACTTGCACATGCCTGCTGGCCCTCACAGCTCCTGTGTGTGTCCGTAAACCATTTGATATTACATTGCATATATTATGATCCTTTTATCCCTAAAAATGTTGTCATGTATGTCCTGAGACTAAAGTCATTCTCTGTCATCCCTGCCATAGTTATCCACTGCAGTAAATTTAACTTTGATATGATGTAGTGTGCTGTCTGTATTCTCATGCTGTTTGCTCAGTCGTGTCTTCCACTACAAGATCCAGGCTAGGACTGCATCAGGTTACTTAGCTCTTAGTCTTCTTTACTCTAGAACAGTTCGCTTATTTATTTATAGGATATTGACCTTTTAAAGAATGTAATTTCTTTTAACAAGTAGAATGTTCCCAGTTTTCGTTTGGTCTGTTTGCTCATGTGATCCTGTCAGAATACTACATGAGTTATATGTCCTTCTTGGGGCATCACATCTGAGGGCATATTGTCTCCATCTCCCCCTTGTTTGTGGTGTTAATTTTGATTACTCAGTCAGGTTTGATTTCTTCATTGTGTAGTTACTACTATGTTTTTTATCTAATCTGTGGGGAGACAATTTAAGACCACATGTATATCCTGCTCTTTATCATACTTTTTCCCTACATTAGCATGTTGATGATTCTTGCCTGAATGAGCCTTTACTCTGATGGTTGCAAAAAAGGCGATTTCTCCCCTCCCCCAACTTTAGGATTCCCTTCCCAAGTGGGCACTTGGCATCATACTACAAATAGTATTGTTGACATAATTAGACAATAAAATAGACAGTACTGTTGTATTGTCTGGACTTTGTAGAGTTCCAGTCATTTGTCCAGTTCATGTCTACTTTGGACTGTAATGTTTTACTGGAAGGCACAGAACTTCTCTTTACTGCAAGTTGGCAAATGGCATGCAGACATGGTTTTCTTTTGGATTCTTCCAAAGTATCCTTAACACTTTCCCATTCTTTTTTTTTTTTTTGTCTTTTTTTTTTTTTTTCCGTGTCTGGCAACGGATCGCAACCCTCAGTGTTGCCCCCGCACCGGACCGGGACCGGCAACGGGATCGCAACCCTCGGTGTTGCTCCCGCGCCTCGCTCAGCCAGTGAGCGGGAACCGGTCTGTACGTGGGATCCGAACCCTTGGGCGGGAGCGCCGCCACGCTTCCCAAGCGGCGCACTTATCCGGTGCGCCACCAGGCCGGCCCCAACACTTTCCCATTCTTAAAAACAAATTCTCGTGTTTTTAATTTTAAACAGCTAGTTTAAATTTACAAGAACACACTTTGAAACTGAGTTGAAATATTAGGTTATTGTATAGGCCAGAGTTTAGTGGATCTGACAATTCTAGAGGAGATTAGAGAAAAACCATAAAGTTTAAAATGTTTCTAATTTAGGCCTATCTTTACTATGTGAGGTTTTCTCCTGTGTTGTTTCGTAATGTCCTCTTTATTCAAAATGTAAGCCTGGGTATATGCTATGCTAAAAGTAATAGTATTTTATAGAGTTCTGAGATTGATGGCTCTTAACCAGTTTGCTTTTGGTACAAGTTTGTTTTTCAAAGATTTGTAGCTGAACTGAGTTTAGTTTCAGGAGCACAGCATAAAAGGTGGTGAGGGCTGGTATCATGGATCACGGATACTTACTGATGAGGCCTGGACTTTTGGGCAGGCCTATAGGATGGAGAGGAGTTCGTCTTGACTTCTGGGAAGACCTGTTTAACCTGGTATAGCCAAGGGATTGTCAGTAACGTAACCCTGTATAGCACTAGCACTACGAACTTAACATATCACTAAAAAATCTGGGGGGAGAGTTTTCACTTTGTAATGGCTGCTTGTATTATAGTTCCATTGGCCAGTACCGTAGAGACAGTGAGGCAGTTGAGTCTGCTCTTTAGGATGCTTGAGTTATCAGCTTGAGCTATAGAAGGTTTTTACCAAGGGAGTGATGATTAAAGCTGTAAGAGAGCTTACCGTCACAAATTTGTAAAAGGGATAAGAGGAAGGAGCACATATTGTTTACCCTAATCTCTGATTATTCATCCTGAGTTAATATTTTAATTGACAAATCATTACATTTATGGAGTTTAATGTGATATCTGATATATGTATTTCATGTGAAATGATTAAATCGAGCTGATTAACGTCTGTCACCTCATTTAACATATTTTGTGGTGATACATTTGAGATTTACTTTGTTATTTATTTATTTTTTTTAAAAGATGACCGGTAAGGGGATCTCAACCCTTGGCTTGGTGTTGTCAGCACCACGCTCAGCCAGTGAGCGAACCGGCCATCCCTATATAGGATCCGAACCCGGGGCCTTGGTGTTATCAGCACCGCACTCTCCCGAGTGAGCCACGGGCCGGCCTTGCTTTGTTATTTTGAAATTCACATTATTGACTATAGTCACCCTGCTGTGCAGCAGATATCTCAAAACTTATTCCTCCTGTCTAGCTGAAACTTTGTGCCCTCTGACCAGCAGCTCCCCATTCCCTTTTTTGCCCTGCCTCCACCCTGTGTAACCATTCTGTTCTCTATTTCTGTGAGTTCAACGTTTTGTTTTTAGGTTCCACTTATAAGGTAGATCATGCTGTCTTTCTGTGCCTGGCTTATTTTACTTAGCATAAACTCCTCTAGATTCATCCATGTTGTCCCAGATGACAGAATTTCCTTTTGAGGCTAAATAGTATTCCACGATGTATATACATGCACGACAGTTTGATTATCCTATCCATTGATGGACACTTAGGTTGATTTTGTGTATTGGCTAATGCTGCAGTGAACATGGGACTGCAAATATCCCTTCAGTTTCTTTGGATGTATTCCCAGAAGTGGGATTGCTGAATCTTACAGCAGTTCCATTTAGTTTTTTGAGGAACTTTCCTTTTGTCTGTGTCCTCACCAACACTGATATTTCATCATTTCGATAAAAGCCATTCTAACAGGTGTGAGGAGATAGCTCATTATGGTTTTAATTTGCGTTTCCCTACTGATAGTGATGCTGAGCATTTTTTCATGAACCTGTTGGCTGTTTATATGTCTTTTGAGAAGTTTTCGCAAGCCACTGGTGAAGTGTGTCTGGCTTACCCCCTGCCCCAACCCTTCCCTCTAACATCGGTACTTAGAAGATGAGGGTGAGGTTGCTCATCACATGTTCTCCAAGAGTCTCCCAATTAATGATGCTTGCTGAATGGTGTCCACTTACAGGCAATGACAAGCATATCACCACAGTAACCGTAAGGTGTCTAGTATTTGTCCTAATCACAGATAATAAAAATGTGAGAAAATAATGGTGGTGCACAAAAGCTATGGGAATGATTTGTAAGAATATTTGGAAATTAAAGTGAGCGTGAAAACTGTTTAACTTTTCTTTGTTTGGTAAACTTTAACTCTTTCTTCCTATAGAACTGATCAATTTTAAACGGAAGAGGGTGGCTGCATTTAGAAAGAACCTAATTGAAATGTCTGAACTGGAAATAAAGCATGCCAGGGTAAGTGTTTTCTTCAAATCAAGCCAACAACTCTTTTAAGTTTTTTTCTAAGTTATTTCCCAATTTACTACTGGCAATGTTATCAGGTAGATGGAGTTTGCCTGTGGGTTTTTTTTTTTTTTTTTTTAAATATTAGCTACCTTTATTTTCCAGGCCTTGATCTCACTTTTTTCCTTTTTGTTTTTATTTATTTAGGCAGCTGGCCAATACGGGGATCAGACCCTGTGACCTCGGTGTTTATAAGGCTGTGTGTGCTCCAACCAACTGAGCTAACTGGCCAGCCCCTGCCTGTGGTTTTAATCCTCTATAGCACTTAGTAGATGGGAGCTGCTCACTGGAGTATTCTTGGCTACTGCAAACCAAAAATATATAATATCTTGAATACTTTCAAGAAGAGCATTCTCGGTGGAGGCTACCCTGCCTCACTCTCAAAGGCCTTGCAGGCCACACTCCAGAGAACCTGTTCTAGTAATTTGTGAATAAGCTCCTCAGTATCTTGGGTTTTCGTGGGAAACTTTTTTAGAAGGAAGTGTTTTCTAGTTTGTTATGTGTCTTTTGATATTTCCTTTTGGTTTAGAAAGGAAGAAAAACTTTTACCTGTTGTGTATATTTAATGTCTATGGCCTAATTTAGCACAGAAACAGTGGAGAACAATGGTTCTCAGTGCTGGGTGCAGATTAGATCTACCAGGTACCCATATTCAGTCAGAATTTCTAGGGGTGGTTCCAGGGGCTCCGCTCTGGAGTGCTGTCTGGTTCAGGGTAGCTAGGTCAGCCCTCAGGCCTTGGGCCGGAGGACTGTCACTGGCCTGCAGCTTTGGTTAAAGTAAGGAAACTTTGAATGTTTGTATATATTTTAATCTTTTATTTTGACTACCAACATAGGTGTATTTACTTACTTGTTTCTTGATTAGGTCCAAACACTCTTGTGTATGACTTTAAATTGGAGTTTAAAAGTGTTTAAATTTTTTTTTTTTTTAAAAAGATGACCGGTAAGGGGATCTTAACCCTTGACTAGGTGTTGTCAGCACCACGCTCAGCCAGTGAGCGAACCGGCCATCCCTATATAGGATCCGAACCCGTGGCCTTGGTGTTATCAGCACCGCACTCTACTGAGTGAGCCATGGGCCGGCCCAAAAGTGTTTAAATTTAATAAGCCACACCACAGTCATAATGTTGACTGGTCATAGTCAAAGTCATAGTCTTGGTGTCTAGTTTTCTAAATTTTCCTTGAAGTGAGAATATCATAAGTAGTTTTTGCAGAATCCTTTATCAATCCTTTATTTGTGATCTCATTTATAATCTCACCCGTAAGAAAGTTTATCCAGTGTTTCCAAAGCACTTAACTTCATAGACTAACTCATTTATGTAGCATTTAAGTTAAGCTCCAGTGAGCAGAACTGGCACGATTGCATTTGAGAGCAAACAGGTGAGGGGCAGGGGTTCTGGTGCCGCAACCACTAGTTCTTTAGCTGGGACCCTCTCCCTAAGTCCTAGACCCTCTGAAGGTTTTTAACAGGCAATTATGGTGAGGAGTGGGTTGTGGTTAGTTGGGATTTAGTGAAGAGAAGTGCCAACCCAGTTAGCTGGCTTTTTTGTGAAAAGCTATGCCAGTGGATTTGTGTTTAAGTCTTACAAGTATATAGCAAGTCTTAGACTCTAGCATGATTCATTGGTCTACCTTAACTTTTTTTTTTTCTCCCAGAACAATGTCTCCCTCTTGCAGAGCTGCATTGACTTGTTCAAGAACAACTGATCTGCCTTCACTCTGAAGGAAATGAATGTGAAAGAAAGCCAGCATCATTTGCACTTAAATCATTACTATGGAAGATTTATTAGCTTTGATTTCAGTTTAAAATTGTGAATAAATGTTTGATTTCTAAAAATCTTAACACTTAACCATGTTTGTTTAAAAATATTTTTATTGCATGCCATTTAGACATAACTAATCTTTTCTTTGTGCATTTAATACCTCAAAGTGGGCAGAATCTAAATAATGGGTTGTCTGTAGTTTGTCTTTACTTACTAAGAAATAAGGAAGAGTGTAGGAGACATGTGCCTTCTGGAAACAAGTAAAAGCAGTCACCTGGCCCACGTTTGTCTCATGTTTCATGTGCCCATGTCCCTGCAGTTGTCAGGGAGGTGCCAGTTACAACAGATAATTCAGCTACTTGTTATAGGTAACATACATTCCATTCCTTACTTAGGTGTTCTTTTGCTCCCCATTACTTTTGTGGTTCTGTAGTCATCTCAAATGTTTGTACTATAGCAACAGCAAGAAAATCTCATTTATCTTTTACCTTTGCAGCTCCATTTTTATAGTTGGGATATTAAGTATTTGAGGGGAGAGAAGTATCTAAGGGTATATATAGAAACAAATAATATGGCCTACTTTAGAAGGTGGCCAGTTCTACATTAAAAAAGATGTGAGCTAGTCAAGGGTTTGGATTTCTGTACCAGCCAGTTGACCAAAAGAAAAAAAAGTGAGTTCCTTCCCTAATGGTAGTGAGAAGGAGTGGTGAGAATTAATGTGTTTGTGCTTTTGTTTTTTATAAAGTATATAATAAAATAATAAATCATGCTACTGTATAGTGTTTTTGTGGAAAAAGCCAGGTGTCCTCCAAGAATGTAGTTGCATTTAAGTGTTGGCTGTGGTGAGAGCGCTTCGCTATCTCTACCCAGAGTCCTAACAAGCCTTTTTTTAGAAGGTCTCTAGAAAGTCTGAGTTTGTCCATTTGCTCCTGATCTGATTTGGTCTTGGAGTTTTGACAGAGGCTTTACTATAAGGGAGCTGTGTCCTCAGGAGATGTGTATGTCTTTATTGGTAACGATGAGCACTTAAGATGGTATCTGACCAGGTTTTCTCCCCTGTGAAGTTTACTTTTTTGCCCTTGTAATAAGTAATTCATGGGAAGATCCTTTGAGACTATGTAAAAACATTTTACCCACCACTTTTAGCATCTATTATAGTTGTAACTGGTTATGACTGTTACTAAAGTTGTAAAGCAGTGATACCTGAATACCACAGGGAGCATTTTTTGAATATTTAACTGATATTGATGTCTTGCTTCTCTTGGTCATTACAGGTAGCTAAAACTTAACTATATTGTGGCCGTAATGCCTTTTAAAGTCATAATTAGGTCTGACAGTCACTGAAACTATTGGGGTCTGAGTAGGTCAGGGGTGTATACTATAGTCCCATCCCTGTTCTGCTTGTATCAGTCAGTTGATGATCACTGCCTTTATATGCGGAGTACACGATATTCATAGTGTCCTTGGGAAACCAGGTAAAGCTGTAGGAGAGAGGCAGCTGCTATCCTGAAATATGAAGGCAAGACCGGGATTTGATGCTGACCATGTCATGTGTGGTGTGCAGAGTGCTCAGAAGACGAGATGAGACCCAGGAAGGCAGGTTCTGAATAGGCCTCAGCAGGAAGAACTCCATCAAATGGGGAACTGCAGCTGCTAAGGAGGAGCCTTCCAAGAGTGCAGGTGATCTTGGGTCATGCATTGAGAAATGTTTGTGACAGCAACAGATGGAATTTAGGCCACCTCAAGATAGTGTGTGGGGAGACTTTTGTTTTGTCTTGGCCTAAACCCTCAGTGTTCAGAGTACTTTAAATCATGGATTGTTTTGAGAGACTTAAGTTTGTGATCCCCCAGGAAAGGCCATGTGTGTGTGCAATTCCTACGGAACCCTTGAAGGGTTCTAGAAAGAAGAAATGGAGTGTGTGGGAAGTGGTTTTAGAGATAGGCCCTCTTTAGAAGTCCAGCCAGAGAGGCTGTGACTTTACCAGGTCACACAGCTGGGAAAGTTGCATTGTAGCATACACAAAACCACAGTTCACAGAAAATGGTATTTTCCCTAAAGAAAAATCAGGAGATGCTCATAAGCAAAGGAAGACCACCCCCTGGTCTGTAAAGCCTTTGTAGAAAGTTGAGTTCACATCAAGCCATTCATGGGGACAAAGTACAAATGGGCCAGCTCTTCTCTCTGTGCATTCACTCATTCCATCCCCATTTTTCTGGGCCTGTTAACTCAATTGCCTTGTGCTCCTTTTGGGCTTGTGAGGCTCATTGGAGGTAATATCCAGGCCCAGTGCTAGGGGGTGATTTTCATTTGGAAGTTACAAGGAAGCAGCTGCCTTGCACCATCAGCCTTCCGCCTGTAGGCGGCAGAGGTGACCCAGTGCAGCCAGCCGCCCATAGCTTGGGACCTTGCCAGGTGCAACTGGAGGAGCCTGGGGTTCCTGCAGGGTTACTTAGATTATCGTCTTGTAGCTGAAGTGCCGATTGTAGCAGGAAGAGAAAATGTTATGCTACTGAGATGTCAAATAGTTCTGGATGGTGTCTTTTCAGACCAGCAGTTCCCTCCAGGATTCCTGTGAGCCTTGGATTCCTGGTGACCCAAGGCAAACTTTTCTGTTCCAGAAACTGGGCCTGGTGTTGAATAGCTATGAGGTCATGGGGGTTCAGGGCCAGGACATGTGATATGCTGCAAAGGAAGGAGGGAGGATCACAGCTGGGCAGTGACTGGTTATGACCTTTAGACACAGCTGGGTGCTGAAAGGTCCAGAGGGACCTTCCCCTATTGCCTTAATGAACACAGATACACATGGTCCCCCTTTGCTTTCAGAGTGATTTTTTTTTTGGCAGCTGGCCAGTAACAGACCGAACCCAGGATCTTGGTGTTAACACCATGCTCTGGCCAGCGTTAAAGTGATTCCTTATTGGAGGTTTGGGTTTGTCACCATAAAAAGCCACGGACTTCATGTTTTTAGTCTTTATTTGCATCTATAAGAGCAATACATACTTTTAAGGAATTCAGACAATGCAAAAACAATAAACTAAAAAATAAAAGTTTTCTATTTTACTATATCTTATAAAAATTAGTTTTAAATGTTTCCATTTTCCCCCCTATCCATATATGTATGTGTATTTTACAGAAAACTGTTCAGAATGCCAGAGTTGGGGTTAGTTTCTGATTGTTGGTTATCTCTCCCTTTGGAATGGTCTCCAGGGAGACTCATGGAACAGCTTCCAGTGGCTGGAAAAGGGCTCTTTTGCATCTTTGTCCTTCCACTGTCAGTTCCCACCAGGAGGAGGGAAAGGTTCTCTGCAGACAGACAGGCTAGCTCAGCCTCTCCTTCACCAACCTTTCCCATTCACCTGCTGGAAGTTGTGAGTGATTTTCATTTTAATTGGGTCTTACTTTGTTTTCTTTCTTTTCTTTTTGATTCTTGGTGGCTGGCTGGGGGAACTAAATTCTTGACCTTGGTGTTACAAGGCCATGCTGTAACCAACTGAGCAAACCAGCTAGTGTGGGCCTTACTTTTGTACACATGCTTCACAAAACTCCTTTAAAGCTTGTTAAAATTGTGGGACCTGGAATATTCAAAACACTCAGGAAAAGAAAAGCCTATAATCCCAGCCCACAGCCATTTTTATTTCTGATGGTTGCCTTCTAGCTCATGCCCACTGGGCATTAATTCATTTGGCGTATTCTCAGTTACAAGAACAAAGTGTTTATTTGGGAAAATTTTTGGCATCAAAGAGGAGGGATTTGGGGGATTGGGGTGTAGGGTTTCCAGTGAAGCTTGCTGCAAGGATAATGTAGTAGAAGACTGGCCAGCTGCTTATGTTTCTGGAACTGCTTATTACTGGCCTCTTTTTTTTTTTTTTTAACTGCTACATCGCAGATCCTTTCCTGTCATGTTGGTGAGGTTTGGAGATGGAATGGAGATCACATGTTGTTTGCCATGTCCCCTCCACATTGCAAAACCACAGGAGGGGACGAGTCACACTCCTGATGGTCAACCCAAGACCCGGCAAGATCCTGAAACAGCAAATAAAAATAGTGCTGCTGGGGTGGTGGGCTATGTAACAATAACTCCTGATTCCAGCCTGACACCCATGGTAACTCTGGGCATAGTTCATGGAAGTCCCAGCTCCCCACTGCCCTGCTCTGCCCGGGTTGGTAGGGAGGTTTCTGTGAAGCAGTTTAAAAGCTTTGCTTGAGGGTGAAAACTTTTTTTAAAAAACTTTTTTAGGGCCGGCCCGGTGGCACACTGCTACAGTGCGCCGCTTGGGAGCGTGGCGGCACTCCCGGCCGAGGGTTCAGATCCCACATACAGACCGGTTCCCGCTCACTGGCTGAGCGAGGTGCGGGCGCAGCACCGAGGGTTGCGATCCCGTTGCCGGTCCTGGTCCGGTGCGGGCGCGACACTGAGGGTTGCGATCCGTTGCCGGACACGAAAAAAGACAAAAAAAAAAAGAAAAAACTTTTTTTATTTTTGGTGGCCGGCTGGTACAGGGATCCAAACCCTTGACCTTGGTGTTACAACACCACGTTCTAAGCAACTGAGGTAACTGGCCAGCCCTTGAGGGTGGAAACTTCTAGCTAGAGCCAGCCTTTGAGATTCCAGCTGGATCCAGCTGCGGTTCCTGGGGCCTCTTTGCTCCTTGCAGTTGTTGACTGTATCATCCCATAATTCAGTCGTGTTGGGAGGCAGGTGGCCAGGCATTTATCTGGGGCTGGAAAAAGTGGCAGGAGTAGGAGGAAGAATACGTGAAAGGATCCTAAGGGGTCCAGAGGAAAAGGAGCTGCTGAGTGCATGCAGACAGCAGCGTGGAGAGCCCCATTCCTTCCTTCAGGCGAAGCTGATCTTGGCTTGCTCAACGAATGCATTGGAAATTCATTCCTGCTGTGAATCCCAACAGAGCTTGCACTGTGTGTTTTTCTAGTCTGGTGTGTGTCTGCAACGCTTTTGACGCCCGTCTGTTTGACTACTGTCTGTTAAAGTGCTTTTCCCACTGGGAGTGGGGCAGGGGGCATGAAACTGACTGGATGTGACTTGCCTCAGAGTCGGGGCAAGAGATGAGGCCAGGGTGAGGTGCTACCTGCAAGGGTCCTTGTTGGGGTGAGCTAAGAAGTAAGTGGGGACCAGAGGTTGAGATTGCCATGCCAACTCCTGTCACAGAGCCCTTGGCTGGGGTCTTAGTTCAGCCTTGGTCAGGGCTAGGTATAATCCAAATGAACACCAGACCTACCTTCATCCCTTAGGTTTTATTCACATCAAAGGGATTTTAGAACCTGAGTCAGATCATGACACTTCTCTGCAAATACCATCCACAAGTCCCCTTTTGACTCAAAGACCAAGTCCTTCCAACAAATACAATGCCCTACCTGATTTGATGCTCCCCACTCCAAGATTTTATTTACCAAAGGTGTCCACAACAATATTTTCAATCCCATATGCTCTTCTGTAATGTGACCTTGCCGCTTCCCCAGCAAAAGAAATCTAGTTCCCCTCGTCTTGACGCTGGGCTGGTGTTAGTGTGTAACCCACAGAATGGGACCGAAGTGACTTGGGTGGGGCGGGGTGTGTGTGTAACTTCCAGGTAAAGAGCAGACAGAGCCTTGTTCTCTAGTCACTTTTGGAACCCAGCTGCCATGCTTTGAGGAGCCAAGCCACATGTAGCGGAGGCCCCATGTCCCAGCTAAGCCCAGCCTGCAAGTCATCCAGCCTATGAACCAGACAAGTAAGTGAAGACGTCTCTAAATCAGCGGTGTCCAATAGAT